ACGGGGTTTCACCATGTTGACCAGGATGGTCTCGATCTCTTGACCTCGTGATCCACCCGCCTCGGCCTCCCAAAGTGCTGGGATTACAGGCGTGAGCCACCGCGCCCGGCCGAAATAAGTTTTAAAAATGAAAAATAAAAGCAGTGGAAAGCAAACAGGAAGGACAGCGCTGGCCGCAAGCAGCTGGAGGGGACTTTGCCCGTGTCTCTGAAACCATGTGCTCTCCGGGGCTCCCTTCCTTCTGCTCTGTCGCCTCTTGGGGCCCCCCAAGCTGCCCGGTTGCTGAGTCTTGTGCCTCTCACCCTCTGACCCTCGGGGGCACCCTGCAGATGGGGGCCCACCCGCTCACACTGGGCACCCCATGGCATCTGCTGGCTGTGCCCTCCCCCCAGAACCGTCCACCCCAGGGCTGGGCAGCAGCCTGAGGCCCACGTGACCTGTGAGAGTAGGATGGAGGAGGACACCCGGCCCAGGGTCACATCCAGCCCAGGGCAGGCAGCCACGAGTGCCCCACACCCTCCCCGGCAGCTGAATGCTGAGGGCAGCTCCCCAAGGCCCAGGGTGGGGTCCCTTGGTGAGCAGAGCTAGGGTGGCGGCTGATGCACACGGTCCTTGGGGGTGTGCAGGGCCCAAGGTGGGGGGCTTCTTCTCTGAAGTCCCTGTCCGAAGGTGGGGGACCAGGGCCAGCCAGGGCATTGGTGTTCAGAGGGGGCCTGGGCCCTTGGGGTTGGGCACAGCTCACAGGGCAGAGTTTGTCTTGGGACAGGCCACCATCCGCATCTTCCCACAGCAGCACTGGCCAGGGGCGGGCAGTGTGCGGGAGCAGTGGGTTCTCGGCCCATCCCGGCCAACAGCGGCCAGTGAGCACTTAGCTCTGTGGGTCGGGGACCAGGAGGAGAGGGGCTGGGACTGGCTAACCCTCAGCCCACCTCCCAGCCCCGCCCACCCCTCATCACCACCCCTGCCTGTCTCCCCTGGAGGCTTGGAGGCTGACTGAATCCCCAGGCCCTGGCTGGGAGAGCTTGGGGGTGGAGGGTCCTCCGAAGGATGCAGAGTGGGGGAGGGGCCGAGATCAGATCCCCACCCCTCCGACCCCTATGTGGCCTTCCTCAGCACCCCCATACCCCCACACCATCTAGGAGCCTCAGTTGTTTCTGGGGGCCTCTCCCAGCAGCCATGATCGCTCGGGAGGATGGCGGGGGGTACCTGGCCCCTGAAGCCCACACCACTGGGATTTGGGTGAAGGCAGGGTGTTGGGCCACGCCCCCTCCAGCACCGGCCCCTGGGCCTAAGGGTCTTGCCGGGGTCACAGACCCACACCTTTGCCCCAGTGGCGTTCCTGACCTTGGCCATGCGAGGGGCAGATAGGAGGCGCTGGCAGAGGAGTGCCAGGTGGGGTGCCTTGGGTCCCACACCTGCTTCCCAGCCTGTCCCAAAAAGACACTCAGCTGTGTGAGCACAGATGTGGCGGGGGCCCCAGCATAGCTAGGGGCGTCACCTGTGGTGAACCCACGAAGGCACTCAGGCCCCGGGAAACCTTGCCAGGGGTGAGCCATGACACCAAGTACCTCGGCACAGGATGGAAGCGTCGTGCCTGGAGCTGGCACTGGAGGGTGAGCGTCTGTGCAAGGCGGGCGACTTCAAGGCGGGCGTGGCCTTCTTTGAGGCCGCCGTGCAGGTGGGCACTGAGGACCTGAAGACACTGAGTGCCATCTACAGCCAGCTGGGCAACGCTTACTTCTACCTGAAGGAGCACGGCCGGGCGCTGGAGTACCACAAGCATGACCTCCTGCTGGCGCAGTGAGTGGGCAGCCCTGCTGGTGGGCGGGCACTTCCCACGCATTAAAGTTTGAGGAGGGGACGGGCGAGCAGGGTGTAAGGGAACGCAGCGGGGACACCCTCACCTGGAGGGTGGCCAGGACCCCGGAGCTCCTGCAGGGGCTGGGTTTCAGCGGACAGGCATGAGTAGGTCTGTGTGTCTGCGCTGAGCGCCTGGGCTGTGACCCGAGTGCCATGTGTGAGCACACGTGACTGCGGGGCCCGTCTGGAACCCTTTCCCTGGCCCCCGGCTCCTGGCGCATTCCCAGCAGCTGCTCAGTGAGGTGCGGTCCTGCCCTCAGTGAGGTGTGGTCCTGTGCTCAGTGAGGGCTGTCCCTGCTCCCCCTGACCCCAAGCTCCCACTCACAGCCTCCTTCCTGCCCACGCCACCCCCTCCAGTCTCCCTGACCCTCCCTCTGCTCCCCACCACCCCTTGGGGTCTCCAGTCGGGCCCAGCCGCCAGTCCACACCTCCCAGGAGCACGCTTCCTGCCCAGCACCCTCCTCCTCAGCCCGCAGCTGCCCTGACCCCTCAGCCCTGCCCAGCACCCTCCTCCTCAGCCCGCAGCTGCCCTGACCCCTCAGCCCTGCCCAGCGCCCTCCTCCTCAGCC